TATGCTTATAATCTTAGCTACTGAGCAGGCTGAGATCTGGTAGATCAGCTGGAGCAGGAAAGTCCAAGAGACTCCATTTCCAAAATAACCATCAAGAAACCAAAGTGGAGGGGCTGGGAAGGTGGCTCAGTGGTAGAGCGCTTGCCTTGCATGCCTGAGGCCCTGGGTTCAATTCCTCAGCACCACATAAGCAAAAAGAAAAAAGCCGGAAGTGGCGCTGTGGCTCAAGTGGTAGAGCACTAGCCTTGAGCTGAAGAGCTGAGGGACAGCGCCCAGATCCAGAGTTCAGGCCCCATGATCAGACTCCCCCCCCCCCCAAAAAAAAAAAAAGAAAGAAAGAAACCAAAGTGGAAAGATGACTCAAGTGGTAGGGCAAGAAAGTGGGAAGCAAGAAAGCCAATTATGAGCACAAAGTTCTGAGTTCAAGCCCTAGTATTAGCCCCCTCCCCCAAAATGGTTAACTTTTGCTACCATTATAGTTGAGCGAACTCGAAGACATTTATAGAATTATGGGGTCACATCCTTTCCTCCTCAACATTCTTTCAACATTGTTCATTGTCTTACACCATCTAGAACTTCTGGAAGTTTTGAAGTGAGTCTCATCTAGTTCTTGGTGATTCTTGGTGGATTATCTGCTTCTTCTACTTGGGTATTTGTAGTGGGATGTTTCTTTCTTCTTGCTTTCTTTCTATCCTAAAGATGTGGGGATCTTGTAAGAGCTGTTCTGGTCTCAGTAGTGTGTTTACATAGTTTACTTGGAATATAGTTACTTCTGTTCTTTTGCCAAATTGAGTTGGTTTTCTGTGGTTTCAGAAAATGGCTTCTTCCATGCTGTTGACTAGTCTGGTTCAATTCCATTGGTTTCTTCTTCTTAGGAGACTGTCCATGTGTTGTTTCAACATAGCTGACTCACCTATCCTTTCCCTCCGTGGCTGCGTCCCTCCCCTCCTCTGCTGTGTGCTGTAGCATGCTCTCACACCTGCCCACCACATCACAGACTCAGTTTTCTGGTATGTTAATTCACTTTCTGGGGTTTCTGAAATGGGAATTTTTTCATTTCTTCCCCTCCCTCTCTCCAGTCTTTGCTACTTCTAATTGCTTGTTATACAGAGTTCATTTTACATTTAATTTCCACAAAAGTGCAGAAATAAGCATCAAATATTTTCTTCTATTTCTTGTAATTATTTCTCTTCTGATAGTGTACGTCCTTTTCTCCTGACATCCTTTGGGCAAAGACAACAGTATCTTTCATAGATTCCCAGGTAGATCTTTACTAAGAAATAATGACTTTTTAAATTGTAGAAACATATTTACTTCGAACCCAATAATTTTAGATATATTAATTTTTGTGTCATAGGAAGTTAGCAGCTGGAAGACCAAGCTAAACCTCACAAGGAAAAGGTAGGGCATTCTGTAGGACAACTTAACTTCTTTTACTGATGTGTCCTAAGGACGGGACCACATGAGACTAAAATAAACTAAGGGGAGATATGTGGTCTTGGTTAATTACTAATTAGATAAGCCAGCTGTGACCATGATTCCAATTAACTAGAAATTTTTAATATGCAAAATATATTGAAACTCGAAGGTAGAACATTATCTAAATGAACCAGGTGATCAAAAGGTTGTATAGCAATAGAATATGATTTCATTTTGGTTTTACACACACTCACACACACACACACACACACACACACACACACACACACTCTGAAATACAGGAATATTCTTGTTTAAAAAAAAAAAAAGTGAGGCTAGGTGCTGATGGGTCACACCTGTAATCCTAGCTACTCAGGAGGCTGAGATCTGAGGATCGAGGTTCAAAGCCAGCCCAGGCAGCAAAGTCCATGAGACTCTTATCTCCAATTAACGACCAGAAAACTGAAAGTGGCACTGTGGCTCAAGCGGTAGAGTGCTTCCTTGAGCTGAAGAGCTCCAAGGACAGGGTCTAGGCCCAGAATTCAAGCCTCAAACTGACTCCCCCCGCCCCCCAAAATGTGAAAGTTGGGCTGGGAAGGTGGCTCAGTGGTAGAGCACTTGCCTTGCATGCATGAGGCCCTGGGTTCAATTCCTCAGCACCACATAAGAAAAAAGCCGGAAGTAGCACTGTGGCTCAAGTGGTAGAGCTCCAGCCTTGAGCTGAGAGACAGCACCCAGGCCCAGAGTTCAGGCCCCACAACTGGACCCAAAAAAAAAAGAAAATGTGAAAGTTATAAGTATAGCTTAGTGGTAGAGCACTTGCTAGTGTGTGTAAGGTTTGGGGTTTGATCCTCAGCAGCACCTAAAACAAACAAAAATTCCAAACTTAAAATAATGTTGGGCCGGGCACTGGTGGCTCATGCCTGTAACCCTAGCTACTCAGGAGGCTGAGATCTGAGGATCATGGTTTAAAGCCAGCACGGGCAGGAAAGTCTGTGTGACTCTTATCTCCAATAAACGACTCAGAAAACCAGAAATGGCGTTGTGGCTCAAGTGGGAGAGCGTTAGCCTTGAGCTGAAGAGCTGAGGGATAGTGCCCAAGCCCAGAGTTTAAGCCCCACAACGGACAAAAAAAAAATTAGATTTTCTAATGTTCTACAGAGTGTATGTATTGCCTGTGTAACAAAATATGTTTTAAATAATGATACAGATTTAGACTGATTGACCACAAAGATAATAAAGCTTAATCTGCACCCCTTATGTCTAGGACCCTTCCAAGGCTCTTGAAAGACCTCTAGTAATTTTCATCTCTTGTCTCCCTCTCCCTCTTCTTGTTCTTCCATCCACACCTTAATGTTCTCTTCGTTTTGACAAGGTCTCAATATGTAGCCTAGGTTAGCCTCAAATTTGAGATCCTCCTGCCTCTGCCTCCCAAGTGCTAGGATTACAGATGCGTTCTACCACCATGACTAGCAACTTAAAAGATGGGAAGGGGGGTGCTAGTACTGAGGCTTGAACTCAGGGCCTAAGCCTTGTACCTTAGCTTTTTCATTGAAGTCTGGTGCTCTACCACTTGATTTATATATCCACTTCCAGCTTTTTGCTAGTTAATTGGAGATGAGTCTTATATACTTTCCTGCCTGAGCTGGCTTTGAACTGTAATCCTCTGATCTCCTGAGGTAGTTACAGCCTCCTGAGTAGTTACAGCCATGAGCCACCAGGGCTCAGTTCAAATTAATATCGTTTCTGTACCATATGTTCATTTCTATGAAAATGTAAACCACAGGGCATAGTCTCTGACCCCATCCTTACAGAATGTTATCACAGAGAAATTCCCAACATGGAAAATAGGAAAAAAGGAATATGTGTTCATCCAGCCAGGGAACTAGCTATAAAGGTGCTTGGGCAGAAGTAACCTACATGATCAGGGGAGAGGTCAGCAGATAGCAGAATCAAATGGCCGGGTTTGGTGTGGGGGGTGGGTGGGGAGGTGTTCTAGCATTTCCCTAATTTTATGATGAAATACAGAAATAAATCTCCAGGCTTGTTCTCCCTCTGTCTATATATTATCAAATTTTAAAAAGATTTATCCCATTTGTCCTCAACAGTGATACATTATTTAATAAATCCTGGAATTTTGTCCAAAGTAAGATACAATTTCTCCTTGAATGATACTCAGCCTTTTTTTGACCTTGATAGAGTCAAGGCAGGAGTTGTGCTGTTTTTTCCTCTAGCTCAGGGTGAAGGGCACTGTCATACTCTGAGAGGGGGGGTCAGCTTCCTGATCCAGCAGAATCATTCATTGCTTATGGGGTGCTATTCCTCCCAAAGCCAGCCTAGGGGTAAGAAACTAATTACTTTTCCTGATCCTTCAACTTGACCTCCAAAGGAAATAAATCCTGTAGCAGTAACCAGTCAGCCGGAGCAGAATACCAAGCCAGAGCCAGCAGACCTATAGCTTCTTTTAGAAGCAGAAAAGGCAACTGTCCATAAGCCAGCATGTGGGAGGCCAAGCCCGTGTCACCTGGGAAGCTGGAGGCTAGATTTCAGAAAGTTTCCTTTTCTATTGTTGATAGATTGCATTAAGCCTAAGGAAGGATTGGGCTGAGGGCATAGCCCAGTAAAATGTGTTTCAAATAGTAAGCACAAGGCCCTGGATTCAATTTTCCCCACTGTAAACAACAACAAAACAAAACAACAACAAAACAAAAACAGATCTGTACACCAGTGGCTTGTACCTGTAATCCTTGCTACTCAAGAAACTGAGTTCTAGGGCTGGGAAGGTGGCTCAGTGGTAGAGTGCTTGCCTTGCATGCATGAGGCCCTGGGTTCGATTCCTCAGCACCACATAAGCAAAAAGAAAAAAGCCGGAAGTGGCGCTGTGGCTCAAGTGGTAGAGCGCTAGCCTTGAGCTGAAGAGCTGAGGGACAGCGCCCAGGCCCAGAGTTCAGGCCCCACGACCGGACCCAAAAAACAAAAAGAGACTGAGTTCTGAGGATCCAGGTTGAAAGCTAGCCAGGGCAGACAAATCTGAAAGACTCTCATCTCCAATTAACCACCAAAAAAACCAGAAGTGGAGGTGTACCAGCCATGAACAAAAAAGCCCAGGAAAGCTTGAGGCCCATTATATACATACACACACATACACACACACGTGGCATGCACACAATTGTGTGTGTGTGTGAGAGAGAGAGAGAGGGAGGGAGGGAGGGAGGGAGGGAGGGAGGGAGGGAGAAGAGAGAGGAGTTGAAAGACAGGAAGGGTATTTTTTTCTTGGCAGCAGCAGAAGCTTCCTAATAGCCATTGTTTCCTGCTTGGCTCATTCCTTTGTCAGCAAGTTCTGGGTCCCAGAAAATGAGTTGGTAATATGAGGGAACAAATAAGTCACAGCAGTGCTCTGCAGGAAGAGGGAGGCTCCTCTGTACTTCCCTTTCCTGCAGGCCTGCTGTGGGTTTCATGATGTCATCCATTCATCATTGTGAGCTGATTGGCCACCCCAGGCGCTGGCCAGCTGCCCAAGGCCAGAAGGGAAGAGAGAGATCCCAGGACAACTGTGCAGCAGGCCCCTGAGATGTGCAGAAATGTTCACATCAGTTCCACCTAGAAAAACTTGGAGGAAATCGAAGACAGTAAAAGTCACAAGATCTTATTCAACCTTCTCTTCCCTCAATGCTTGGGGAGAATTCAGGGGCCTCTTCTTGCCTGTGGATGGGGAACCAAACCCTGGAGTAGGCCTGGGTGTAGAGGAGGGACTGCTCTGCCAGATGATTCATTCTCCTGAATTCAACCTATTTCCTCAGTCAGTGGTGTTTGAAAGCAACTTTGTCCAGGTACTCTTAGATGGCTCAGAGCAGCCCTCCTTAATTCTTCTGCAGTCCCAAACTATGACAATCATCTCCATACTTGGAGAAGAAGCTAGGGGCCTAGAATACACGGTTTCTTGTATGGACCAGGGTTGCTACATCAAAGGAGAGTGATCAGGACTTCTCTGCTATGAGGGGAGGGCTTGGTTATCTGAACCCTCAATTTGCTTCATTCTCAGCCTGTTACTTGAAGCCATATGAACAAGGAGGCAGTAAAAGGAGATGGCCTTTTGGGTCAGGAACTGAAAGGCTGGTTGGTGGAAGAACAGGAGCTGGGGACCCAGAGAGATGTCATCTTAGATTCCAGTTCTTTGCTTCTTGGGGGGAGCTGTCATTATGCACAAAACCTGCATACTTGGAATCCATTTTCTCTATTTTATTTGCTTGAGTTATTATTTTGGTATGTTTTCCAGGCTGACCTCCAATTTTTTTGATCTGCCTACCTCTGCCTACTGAATACTGAACTATAGTGAACCATGCCCAGCTTTCCTTTTTTTTTTTTTTTATTCAGGAGGTTTGATTGATCTGGGGATGAAATGAAAACACAGCAAGCAAAGGTGCCTGGTCTAACAGGCACTTAGACAGACAGAACTAAAATACATTGAGCTATGAAATTGGAAGAGACCTTCCCACCAGGTGGAAGCGCAAGAACATCATGAGGATGTTTTTAAAAGAAAAGTCAGGATACAATCCAGGGGAGGATCCATAGACATGTGATGGATGATAAGGATGTCCTGGTGTATAAGTCTTGTGAACAGTTGGTAATAGTAGATGGTTAGAGTTTTTAAGCCAACATAGGTTAAAATATTTGTCAACAGCAATGATTTCTTCACCACTGCTACAAGACCTCTGGCAATGCCTGGAGACCTTTTTGGTTTGTCACAATCGGTGGCGGGGCGGGGGAATTGCTATTCGCATCTAAGGGACGTAGAAGCAGAGGAAGAGGATGTTGCTGAACAGTCTTCAGCACACAGTATACCTTTCCCCACAAACAATTAACAATGCTGAGTTGAGAGATCCTAGGGCTAAAAGGCACTGCTGCTTCTGTCCAATACTCAGGCTGTGTCTGGGGGCTGCATTGCAGGTCAAAAGAAGAAGAAACTGGATAAAAATCTACAAATCCTGCAACACCATGGCCCTTGGGGTGACCTCTTCTGTGCCCTGTCTACCCCTTCCCAACATCCTCCTCATGGCTAGTGTCAAATGGCATCATGGGCAAAACCAAACATGGAATAGACCACCTACAGCCCCAAAGATCAATCTGAAGAGGTAAGCAACTTTGATAGGAATGCAGGACAGATGGGTTAAAGGGTAGAGACAAAGTGGAGGTTGCTTGTGGGGGGCGGGGAGGAGTAGAAAAAGTGTTTAAAATATACCTGGGGAGCTTTTGTAAAATGCAGACACATAAAGACATTCTCTAAGATTCATTCAGAGTGTGTTCCTGGAATCTGCCATTCTTACCTGCTGGCCCTCCTTGGTTCCTGCTTGAGAGACACCGACTAGGAGTTAAGGTGCTAAAACTATGGGGTTTTGCAATTTCTTCTTGTTATATTTTACTTAAGTGGTGGTACAAATTGGGTTACCATCTAACATGTCAGATTATGAGGACAACATCTCCCCTTGGGTTTTGCAATTTCCTTCTAGACTGCACAAAGGGAGTTGGCTCATAAGTCCAACACATACATTCATTAACTTTAATGTCTCCATAACTCTACCTAAAGGAAATTTTAAAAGAACTGGCTTTGAATTTAGTTGGGCCTGTGGGTTTACCAAGGATGCAATGGAGAGGTTGGCCAATGAGGATTTTCCTGGACTGTAGGAACATCTAGAGACTCTAGAGATAGTCAGCAAATTGTTTAACGAGACTATAAATATCCAGGAGGGCTGTTTAGGTCTTCTGGCCTTGAGAAGACTCCCTTGTTTTAATGATGAAGAGTTGCATCAGAAGCAATGGGATTGTCAATATGTCTTCCCCGGCGCCTTTAGGATTCTCCCATTGAAGTTTGTGGAGCTACGGGTCTGTGACCGCTTTCAACGCATCCTGCGGTTAAGGACAGTCACAGAGAAGATCTACTATTTAAAGCTCCACCCAGACCATCCTGATACTGTCTTCCGCTTCTGGATCCGACTGGTTCAAATTCTGCGGAAGGGCCTGTCTATTACCACCAAAGACCCTAGCATCCTTGTCACTCACTGCTTGGTACCCAAGAACTGCTGTAGCCCATCTAGAGACTCTAAGGTAACGTAGCACCATTGCCAGCCTTCAGCCATGACAGAGATGAAAAGAACACCTTAGACTAGCTCCTAGCGAGCAGCCTGGAGAGGCTTTATTGAATAACATTCATAACCATTAAATTCACTCTATGTATGTAGACAGTCAATGTATAGTTATGCAACCATCAACCATCACCACAGCCCAGTTTTAGGAAATATCTATCAGGGAGAAGACTTTCCTCTTGTCCTTTTGTAGTCATTCCTTATTTCTACTCCTAGTCTTAGGCAACCACTGATCTGTTTTCCCTTCTGCAAAGTCAATTTACTTAGACATTTTATGTAAATTGAATCACATTCTTTCTGGCTCTCATCAATATTTTACAAGTTCGTCCATTTAATGGCATAAAACCAACTCTGGGGCAGAGTCATAAGCTGTCAGTAGTTCATTCCTTTTCGTTGCAGAGTAGTTGCCCATTGTATAGATATACCACATGTTGTTTACCCATTTACCAGCTGATGGACTCTTGGATATGACAGTTTGGGGCTGTGGTGAATATTGGTGATGTGAGAATTTGTGTACAAGCTGTTGAGTAAATGTGCTTTTATTGGTTTTAGGCCATTTCTAGGTGGCTATATGGAAAGTGTATATTTAGCTTTTAAAGAAACAGGCAAACTATTCTCCAGAGTGGTCATTTTTGCATTGCCACTAACAATGCAAAATGCTTTTGGTTTCTCCATATCTTCACCACCACTGATACTATCTTTTTAAGTTATAGTCATTCTAGCAGATGTGTGTGTGGTTATCATTTGGATTTACCTAATGATTTATGATGTTAAGCAACTTTTCATAGGCTTTTCAGTTATTCATAAGTTGTCTTTGGTGAAGTATCTAGTAAAATTATTTGCTCATTTTAAAACTAGGTTTCCCCCCCCCCCCTTCTTTTTCTGTGCTGGAATTGGGGCTTGAACTCAGCCCCTGGCACTGTTCCTGACCTTTTTACTCAAAACTGGAACTTTACCACTTGAGCTACAGCTCTACTTCTGGTTTTTTAATGGTTGAACTGGCAACAAGAGTCTCATAGATTTTCCTGCTGGGCTGGCTTGTGATCCACAGTTGTCAGCCTCCTTGAGTAGTTATGATTACAGGCATGTAAAACCAGTACTGGACTTGACATTGGGTTTTGCTAAATGCTTTTCTGCAGCTCTGAAGAAGATCACATGATTATCCTTTATATCATTGATATGGTATTTTACATTAATTGATTTGTTTGGTGTTAAATGAACCTTATGATCCTATAATTCTACTTATTTGTGACATACATTTTTTGGTATGTTACTAGATTCACTGTGCTACCATTTTGTTAAGGATTTTTGCACTATGTTCATGAGAGATACTGGTGTATAGCTTTCTTTTGATATCTGTATAAAACTATCTTTGGCATCCAGTTAATATGAGCTTCATGAGTCAGTCAAGAAGTATTCTTCCCCCTCTATTTTCTGAAAGAGTTGGTGAAGAATTTTTATTACTGCTTTAAATATTTGACAGATTTCAACAATGAAGCCATTTATGGCTTTTTGCCCCAGGCTTTTGAGCATGAAGAATATAAACCTGGTTTGAGCCACAATATAAATTCCATGAGGGCAGAGATCATCTCTCTCCTCCACTGCTCTGTCCCTACTGCCTAGCACATAGTATTCAATAAACAGTGAATGAATGAATGAATATGGGCAGACTATACAACTGGAGCACTTCTGGGATATCAAAGATAAGAGGAAATAAATTAATTTTATGTAGATGCAAAAAAACGCAGTTTCATAGAAGATTTTTCTCAAAGAAAATGATTTTTTTCAATTCCCATTCAAATCTTATAATATACAGGATTTTCTTACATTTTAGTATAAAACCAAGTAGTACAAACTATTAAATTTTACTTTCATTGGCTATTCAGTAAACCATGCTAAGGTATATTAATGGGAATAGATTACTAAATTATGTTAACAAGTATCACCTTTAGGCACCAATGGGTACTTATATCAATCAATACATGAGATATACAGTCTCAGAATTGTCTCTATGGGCAGCTGGAGTAGTGGGCCAACGTGTAAATTCCAGCACTGCAGAGTCTAGATCACGTTACTAGGAAAATGCAGAGAAACTGAGGCCTTAACCACTTATTCCTTTATTTTTTGTATAGTTAGTTCGGAAGAAACCCAAAGCCTCCCAGCCCAGTGAGAGCCTCATGCAGCTGATGGCCAAGGCGGAGAGTGAGGCTCTCTCCCAGATCTTTGCTGACTTGCACCAGCAGAACCAGTACAGGTACATGAATTAAATCAAGTGGTGGAAGAGGTTGAAGGATCATGAGTTTGAGATCAGCCTAGGCTATATAGCAAGGCCCTTCCCATGCCCCCCCCCAAAAAAAAATCAGGCCAGTCTGTGACACCCCTTCCTACAGGTCAGATAATCTGGGCTATGAGACTCTTGGTTGGGGAGCACAAGGAGGGATGAGACGTCTTGCTATACACAGTCCTATCTTTATTCTTAACTCAGGGCAACACTCCTGGGCACTCTTGGCTTTACTCTCCTTTTCCATACAAATAGAAGGCTTGATTTCAGGAGAACTTTTATTTTTTTGAAGGTTTGGTTTTTAATTTTTAATTTTAATTTTAATTTTTTGCCAGCATCCAGGCACTGTTCCTGAGCTAGCACTTGAGCTACAGCACCACTTCTGCCTATTTCTGTTTATGAGGAATCAAACCCAGGGCTTCATGCATGCTAGGGAAAACACTCTACCACTAAGCCACATTCCCAGCCCTCAAAAGGAATTTTATAAAGAATTAAAAGAAGAATGAGCCAGGCACTGGTAACTCATGCCAGCAACTCAGGAGGCTGAGATCGAAGGATTGTGGTTCAAAGCTAGCCTGGGCAGGAACGTCCATGAAACTCTTATCTCTAATAAACCAGCAGAAAACCAGAAGTAGTGCTATGGCTCAAGTGGTAGAGCACTAGCCTTGAGCTGAAAAGCTGAGAGACAGCGCCCAGGCCCAAAGTTCAAGCCCCACAACTGGGCCCAGTCATGGGGCTTGAACTCTGGGCCTGGGTGCTATCCTTGAGCTTCTCTTGCTCAAGGCAAACACTCTACCACTTGAGCCCCAGGCCCACTTCTGTTTTTTGTTTTTTTTTTTTTTTTTTAGTAGTTTATTGGAGATAAGAGTCTCATGGAGATTCCTGCCTGGGCTGGCTTTGAGCTGCAATTCTCAGATCTCAGCCTCCTGAATAGCTAGGATTACCGTTGTGAGCTGCCACTGACACCTGGCTCAATTCCCCCCTTTTTACAAGAGTTAAAAATTAGGCCAGAGAGACTATGTAACTTGCCCAAGGCTAAGCAAATAGCCAAATAGCATCAAGGGCAGGAGAAAAATCTAGGCTTTAGTCCAGAGGGGTTTGGGTTATTTTCCCCCTAAGGGGTGTGTGGGGGGGTGTACTGGTCCTGGGGCTTGAACTGAGGGTCTGGGTGCTGTTGTTTTTTTTTTCAATTCAGTTATAGTTCTATAGAGAAATAACCAGAACATTGTTTAAAACCCTGCCTACCAATTGGGTTCATTTACCTGCTTGCTTGGCTTCTTCACAAGAACTTCTGTGCTTGTTTTCTAAAGATATAATCTGTTCTGGAAAGCTCCATGGTAAAGGCCTATCTTCTCCATGTCTGAGGAAAAAACCCTGTATGTATAGAATACTTAGTGCTGAGTCTAAAAAGTGGTTGCCAGGAATTGAGAACACTTACAGGCTACCACAACTAGAAGGCAAAGATAAAGTGGGGTCTAGTGCATACTATTTGTTTGAGTGCCCAAGCCTAACTGTGGCCTTGAGTACTCTGCTTAGCTTTTCTAGGTTTTACTTTCTAGATTCATAAAATCAAAATGATATTAGTGCCAATTTCATCTAGATGTTGTCTGAATCCAATAAGCTTTGGAAACATCCAGTACTTAATGTACTTAGCATGCTCCTTAACAAATTTAGATGGAGATATAAGAAAACTCTCAGTAAATATTAAATTGCATTATTAACTATGACTTTGGTTGGAAACAGAAAATTATTAATACAAGAAAAGGACACCAGGCACCATGCTGGTAATCCTCAGTACTCAGAAAGCTGAGGTCTGAGGATCTCCGTTTAAAACCTGTCCAGTCAGAAAAGTGACACTTATTTCCAATTAACCACCAAAAAGCTGGAAAGATTACTAACATGAGCTACTGGCACCCAGCAAAACCACTGAGTTTTAAATTACTAAGAGGCATTTTAGTAATTTGTCAACATCTCATTGACCACAACTCAGTCTGATGGCCTCACCCAGCATAAAGGAAGCTTGGAAATTTATTCTTCTTTAGGCACCTGCCCCACTGAAATGTATTTGCCTTCCAAGGAAGAAGGGAAAGGGGTGACTAGAGGCCTATGGACAATGCCATCCCTAGCACTGATAGCCTTTATATGGCTGGAAGGTCAGAGAAACCTAAGTCCTACAGGAGAAACAGCCAATAGACAAAGGATGGAGAAGAGTCAGGCAGATTGAGGGGGAACAAACTTGTGCAAGGACAGGCTCCACATAAAGGAAGAAGTTTGGTGAGTTTAGAGAAATGGAGAAAGACCAAGTGGGAAAGAGCAGGTGGTAACAGAAGAGACTAAAAAGTGGGCAGGAGCCTGGCCAGGCAGGGCCTGGAAACCCATGCAGAGGGATTTAGACATTCAGTGGAGTGGGAGCCTTAGCAGCATTTTAAACAGAGAAGTGACGCAATTTACATTTTGAAAAGGTCATTCTAGCTATTGCAGTGACAGCCGAGCCTCGATCAGGCAAACTAGTTCTGGATCAGCATATGCAAAATCATTCAGAGGGATGCAAGGAAAAAGAGGTGTCACTGTTCCTCCTTGTTATCTAGAAGGCATGTCTGAGTGATTTTTTTCTCCTCATTCAAGCAAGTTCCAGTCTGGCTCCTATTATCTGTTTTTATCTATTGGCAATAACACACAACAGTAAATAAACAGTAAATAAAATAGATGGTTGAGATGCAGGATCCAACAGACGGAGTCACATCCTTCCTTCTCAGCAAAAATTAGCAGCATGGGCTCTGCTCCCTAGTTCTTCCCATCCCTTTTTACTTCTGGAAATTGAATATGCATTGCACCCACCCAATATAGCCACAGCTGGCCCTTTCATATTTATAGCTAGCTGTCTCTACAGCTATTGCATCAGGCAGGAGAAAGCAAACTAGGATTAAGGCTTGAAATAGGACTGTAATGTTTCATTCCTTTAACTTTTGATCTTCATTTCCTTGATCCTGAAATGATTGGCGTTCCAGGAGCAGCAAAAAGATGGAGATCAACAAGAGCAGCTCAGGTAAGATGGGGGATGCAGGGCACCATGCCAGAGAGCCCTGCTGTGCAGGGACAAGGAACAGCTTCCCTGCAGCACTCGTAGGAAACATCGGGAATGCCATCATTTCATGGCATAGCTGGAACCCCTTTGAGTTCTTTTATTACCACAGTCAATCTGGTACCACATCCTATGTATTTCTTTCCTTGAGATATTTTTTTGTTTGTCTTTTTGTGCTGGTCATGGGGCCTAAACTCAGGGTCTGGGAGCTATCCTTGAACCTTTTTTCTCAAGGCTAACACTTTACCACTTGAGCTACTGCACCACTTCCTGCTTTTTGTTAGTTAATTGGAGCTAAGAGTCTCATGGATTTTCCTGCTCAGGCTGCCTTTGAACGGATCATCAGCCCTCAGCCTCCTGTAATCTTCAGCTAAGCACGACCAGGCACAAACCATGGGAGCCCAGCTGAAATGTTTTTATATTCTTCATTTCAACTCCCCAAACCTGGCTCAAGCCCAGCTTTTTTTTTCCTGAAGCCTACAAGTTATGTACCAAGAGGCTTTGTAAGTGCCAATCACCGTGCAGGTTTGGGCGTTACCATGTGGAAAGATGCTGTGCCCCTTCAAGGGAATTATGTGGTAGAGTCACAGGGGCAAATATCAAAATGATTTTTTTAAAAACACATCTTTCCTTCTACAACATTCAAAGCTCATACCTGGGAGGCTGGGTATCTGAGCAGTCACAGAAGGTGATGTTTGTGTGAACTGGTTGAACACATATGGCATCTGTCTGATGGAGTATGACAGAATTAGCAGCTGGTTCTCTATACCCAGGTTTTAGTCTACCACATGTCTGGCATACATAGGCCTGGAAAACTTCCCCATCATTCACCTTCACCAGATTACTCCTCCTCTGACTCATCATCTTCAACCCTAACCTGCTCCAATCAAACCTCCCCTAGCTTGCTAGTACCTCATCTCTGTTCACTATCTTCCACCAGGATCCACTCAAACCCTTTATCCTAAACCCTATACTTCATACTTGCCCGTCCAGACTTATCCCATTCCTTGTAATCTAGTTAATTCTCTACTTCTTTTATAGGCTTAAGGCTTCCATCTGTAAGTTTGACTGAATCCTGTGTCTCTGAATTATCCATAGAAGCAGGCCAGGGCTGGGGACACAATGGAAGCTCAATAAATATCAATATACCAGACCATTAGTAAATTAGATATCCAGATTAGCTTAGAAGGCAGCCAGAACATCATGTTATATTTAGAAATTTAGATGTTATACATCCTAGGGTATCATCCAAAAATGTAAGAAATAAAGGCACAGATATATAAACATGATTATAACTGTGTCCTAAACTCTATGATAATTAAAACAACTCTTGGCATCTGACCTTTAGTTTTAGCATCGAGGAGACAATAAGGAGCAGTGGGGACAGTGGCAACAAGAAAATGAAGGTTTCAATTGAGGCTTCCATGAATTACTGCTGTTTGGAATACACACAAGCCTGGGATATCTGATACCTTGATTTTTAGGGAAGAACCAAAAATGTGAATTTTTAAAATAGTATATTTTTCTGTTCTATTAAACAAAATGAATCACAGAATAGACTAAAACTTTGTGTGCAAACAAGATGTAATAGAGACCAAATTCAGCCTGGAGGTTGTCATTCTGCTCATAACCCTTGTCCTAAGTAGACACTGAGCAGAGCCACACTTACAGATTGACTGCTGCTTGTGTTCTGTGACCTATTGCACAACGGACTCATTTTTTGTTTTTACACATATATTCAAACATATTCACATGTACATACCCAAAATCCATGCTATGAGTTTAGAATTGAGGAACAGAAATAGAAAATATTCTGGATTTCTGGAACTGAGGAAAATAGCTAGGATTTCAGGATACCTGGCATTGTGGAAAATTCTGTCTAAGATGTTCTTTAGGCTGATTTCTATCCCACCCCAATACTGGACTTTGAACTTGAGTCAAACTCCCCAGCCCTTTTTGCTTTAGATTATTTTTTGGATAGAAGGCTGTTTACCATTCTCTCATCACAATTTACTTATTTATAGCCTCCTTGGTAGCTGGGATTGCAGGTGTACACCACTATGCCCATCTTGGTTTTTTTTTTTTTTTTGCTGAATGGTGTCTTGTTTTTTGCTTGGGCTGGCCTTGGATCACAATCTTCCTGCTTTCTACCTCCCCAATAGCTATGATTATAAGCATAAGCCACCATACCCAGTCAAATCCTCCTATCTTCAATTAACCAGGAAAAAAACTGGAAATGCAAGAGGTAGAGTGCCAGCTTGGAGCAAAAAAGCCAAACAAGGGCACAAGGTTCTGAGTTCAAGACCCAGGACCGGCACACACAAAAAAATGTAGATTCGAATTAATTAGGGCTGAGGAGTGTTGCGTGGGATAGTGAATTTCTAACATGCTCCCAGGTGATGCCAAGGTTTCAGGTCTACTTGGAATTGCCAGGGCCAAGATGATAACAATAGGCTCTGGTTTGGATCTTCTGAGTTCAGAGCCATTTCCAGTTCTGCTAGTCAAATCTCCTGGGAAAAATTATTCAGTTAACCTGTCCCAACCATGGTGGTTCTCTCCTTTTGCTGGGGCTGCCTTGTTCATATGCTGTAATAAGGACATGGGCTGTTTGACTCTGAATATTGACTCTGCTTCCTCATAGTATTGACCATTAGTAAGTCAATCAACCTCTCTAAGCATCAGAGATCTCCATAAATGGGGATTATGGAAGTGCTGCCTTCACAGAGATGTCATGAGGAAAAAAATAAAAGAGCAGAATGTGTGTGTACTATCTGGGTACTTGTAATCCCAACTTCTCAAGAGGCTGAGATCTAAGGATTGCAGTTTGAAGCCAGTCATGCAGGGAAATCCATGAGACTCTTAGCCACCAAAAGAAGCTGGAAGTAGAGGTATGGCTCAAGTAGTAGAGTGCTAGCCATGAGTGAAGAAGCTAAGAAACAACACCCAGGCTCTGAGTTCAAGCCCTAGCGCATGCATGTGCACGCACACACACACACATACACACACAAATTGTGTGTACTTGTCCAAAACAGCCAGAAAAGCACCCTTTGCCTGTTGTGCTATAAGCATTCTGTGAACCAGACTCTAAAAACAAAAATGCATTCTTTTTTTTTCCTTTTCCAGAAAGCGATAATCCCTGTGAAGATTGTATCCCTTGTACCCGGGACCTCAGTTGGAGGGACTCATTCACTTTTGGAGAGTGGGAAAGAGAGAACCCTTCTGGGCTACAGCCCCTCTCGCTCCTCAGCACTTTGGCTGCCTGCACTGGGCCACAGCTGGCCCCACTCATAGGTAAGGCCACAGGATTGATGTGGGCACCACCATGGGACAACCTCAGGGCTAGGATCAGATCCTGAGGTCCTGAAGGTGATTCCAGAATGTCATGGGATGGGGAAGGGAGATCCTGGCTGCAGTGACCTCAACCTTCTTTTCTCCTGTCCTGTTCTTTTTTTTTTTGCCTCCAACGGTGCAGAGTGGAACCCTGCAGTGTGGCACCTCCAGAGCGCCGCCGAGAGTTCCTGCTAGTGGTTCTAAAGGGACAGGCACTACTAGAATGAAGCGCTTGCAGAAAGAGCTCTTCCTTTTCTTGCTGTGTGGAGGCCTGAGGCCTTCCTCTGGGGAGCTTCTGTGGGCCCTTCTTACTCTCTTCTCCCTCCCTAGAACTTTTGATGGCTTTCTTTCTGTGGAGTTGGGGTGCCAAGAGGGAGAAGCTGAACTATAGGGCTAAGTGAAGCTGAATTTTCCCTGAGGCTGCAGACTTTCTTTCTCCATACTCTAAGCCTTCAAATCTATCCTTTATTCATTCAACATGCATTCATGAAGTACCTCCTACATATTACACCTGAGAGAGTCCCTATGGTGGTGGGGTAACTGAATTCCCCCTGTTATTGTTGCCAGTACTAAGGCTTGGACTCCAGGCCTGAAGCTCTTGCTTAGCATTTTTGCTCAAGGCTGGTGCTTGTGCTATACTTCAACTTCCAAGTTTTTGCTGGTTAACTGGAGATAAGGGTCACTTGGATTCGTCTGCCCAGACTGGCTTTGATCTGTGATTCACAGATTTTAGCCTCTTAAGTAGTTAGAGTTAGAGATGTGAACCAACAGTGCCATGCAAGTTTCCTCCTCTTTCTCTTCCTCCTCCACTTCCTCCTCCTCTTCCTCCTTCTCCTTTTGTCAGTACTGGTGTTTGAACTCACATTGGCTTGCTTGCTTGCTTGCTTGCTTGGCTGGAGCTCTCCCACTTCAGACATGCCTCCAGCCCTACTTTTTGATGGTTACTTTGGGGATGGACTCTCAAGGAATTTTCTTCATGGGCTGGTGTTGTACTGAGATCTTCTGGATCTCAGCCTCCTGATTAGCTAGGATTATAGGCATGAGCTATCAGTGCCTGCTAATTTAGGTTTTTCAATGTGAACGATTCTGAATGAACTTCTCTTTGAGAGACCATAATTAACGACTATTAACCATTTTTAGCAAGAGGCCTTTATTTAAAAATGACAGTTTAAGCCAGGCGCTGGTAGCTCATGCCTGTAATCCTAGCTACTCAGGAGGTTGAGATCTGAGGATCATGGTTCAAAGCCAGCCGGGGCAGGAAAGTCCATGAGACTCTTATCTCCAATAAACCACCCAAAACCCGGAAGTGGTGCTATGGCTCAAGTGGTAGAACGCTAGCCTTGAGCTGAAATGCTGAGGGACAGAGCCCAGGGCCAGAGTTCAAGTCCCATGACCAAAAAAAAAAGACAGTTTAAACAATTAAAATAAGTGCAGTGTTTCCTCCATCGGCAGTTTTATTTTTTGAAGTTTCAATTACTTGCAATCAACTGCAATCCAAAAATACTAGATAAAGTCTAGGCACAGGTGGTTCACACCTGTAATCCAGCTATTCAGGAGGCTGAGATCTGAGGATCATGGTTCAAAGCCAGCCTGTAAGATTCTAATCTCCAATTAACCATCAAAAAGGTGGAAGTGAAGCTATGACTCAAGTGGTAGAGCACCAACCTTGAATTAAAAAAACCTAAGGGACAGTGCCCAGACTTGAGTTCAAGCCTCTGGGATCAGCACAAAAGAAAAAAAAATTCTATGAGAGAGAAATCACATTCATATAGCTTTTACTTATAATTATTTGATTTAATTGATATTCATTTCTCACCATACCTAATTTGTAAGTTAAACTATATCATAGGTATGTATGTGTAGGGCGGGGGGAAACATCTTATAGGGCTTGGTGCTATCTAAGGTTTCAGGTACCCCCTTGCTCTAGGAATAAACCCTACAGACAAGGGGAGACTACTGTATCTATGAGCCCACAGAAGAGTTCCCTAGGTCGTGTATATACTACTGAACCCCCTCTTCTCTCCTGTCTCACAGGAAATTTTATATGATCTACCCTCTTACACTGGGGAGAGTCTTATGCAGCTCTCGCCCATACAGCTCCGCAACTTTCAGCTGGGTGGGGGGTATTCTCTCTGGACTGTGGGGAGGAAAAAGCTGCAACTAAGGGAAAACTAAAGTCATGATTGCACGCTGACAGCAGAGCCTTTCCTCACTCCAGCTGTGCCTCCCTCCGCATCCTCACCATCTCACGTGAGCACAGCCCAACTCCATCCACAGACCAAGCAGGCACAGGAAGAAGGGCACACTCGCAGAATGGCTGGAACCAAAGAGACAGAGAAAAGAAATATAAGGAAAGCAAACCCTCTCCAGAGGAGAGGCGGACGAGAGCAAAATAGAGGTGATGAGGAAGGTGACAGGAGGAAGTCTGAGAAGAAGACAGACACAAAGAGAAATGATAGCAGAAGGAAACAGAAGAGATGTGGGAAGAGAGATAAAGAGGACCAGACAAGATACCTATCACTGAGAGATGCCTCGTCAAGCTTCTATTTATCTAATTTAAAACTTGAAAGTAAAGCCATAAGCCAAAAAAAAAGTGTCATTTCTTTTCTGCTCAGAGTCCCCTGGAACAAGTATGAGGGGATTATCTTTCACTTTCCTCTTTTGCCACCTTCCCTATCCTTTATTTGTTATTTTGTGTCAGTCTTTGGGACTTGAATTGAGGGCCTGGGCATTGTCCCTTAGCCTTTTCACTCAAGGCTGGTGCTCTACCAAGTTAGCCACAGATCCCCTTCTGGTTTTTGGTGGTTAATTGGAGATGTGTCTCATCAACTTTCCTGCCCACTGACTTTAAACCATAATCCTCAGATCTCAGCCTCCTGAGTAGCTAGGATTACAGGCATGAGCCAACAGTGTCCAGTCATCCCTCTCTTCTGATTTAAGCTTAATGCTTAGCCTTGTTTGCCCAGCCCTATTATTCAGACTGGGATTTGATCTCAGGAGTTCTGATATCCACAGGAGGTTCTAAGACAGTGTGTGTTTCATGTTCTAGCTATTCATACTCAGTCCTACAAACACTTGTATGATTTCTTTTGCATATGACTCCTCTTGAAATGTTGACAGAACTTGCTAGTGTATTATTAAATTAGTGGCTTCAGAGAAAGGATACACAGACTCAAAAAAATAAGTAACATAGAGGATCACAAGTTTTACATTGAAAAGTTTATTAAGCAGTGTCTGCCTGGGGGCCCATGGACTGGCCTGGGTTTAAATTGTGCATTATTTCATATTCAATAAATCCAGATTATCAGTGTTGCAGAACAACTGGCCAGCTTCCATTGGAGTTGTCTTGTTTTGTTTTTAGATGTTCTGCATTGATTTAAAATAGACTAGGAGCCAGGTACCGGTGGGTCACATCGGTAATCCTAACTCAGGAGGTTGAGATCTGAAGATCACAGTTCAAAGCCATCCCAGGCAAAGTCCATGAAACTCTTATCTCCAATTAGCTACCAAAAAGCCAGATGTGGGGCTGGGAAGGTAGCTCAGTGGTAGAGCGCTTGCCTTGCATGCCTGAGGCCCTGGGTTCGATTCCTCAGCATCACATAAGCAAAGAGAAAAAAGCCGGAAGTGGTGCTGTGGCTCAAGTGGTAGAGTGCTAGCCTTGAGCTGAAGAGCTGAGGGACAGCGCCCAGGCCCAGAGTTCAGGCCCCACGACCAGACCCCAAAAAAAAAAAAAAAAGCCAGATGTGGACCTATGACTCAAATGGTACAGTACTAGTCTTGAGCAAAGTAGTTCAGGGATGACACCCCCAGGAGTTTGTTTAAGCCTCATGACTCCACTGTCCTCCCCTTCTCTTTCCCTCCCCACTCACATACAAAGATACACTAGGAAGGTCCTAAAGTAGTTTTTAGACCAAAATGGTTGGAGGAGACTAAAAAGCAAGCTGCTAAATCACCATCACTCCAAGGATGAATTATAGCCTAACTCTGGATGTTTTTATTGTCCACCTAGATGATCTTTCCCATGCTTTGTTTACTGTTTTCGAATTCCTGCTTTTCACTCTCCTCTGACCCCTCTGATTTTAACTAGATTTAATTGCACCCCATCATTCCCACTTTCTGGCTATAATACCTCTTCTAGCTCTCCTCCTCAGTCCAGCATCCCTTCAGCCTGACCCATCTTACAATCTGTTACCCCTGCAAGGTTTTCATTTTCCTTTCCCTCCCTTGTCCTTATTTCCTTACAGATCCCAGATCAGTCTTGTTATTCTCACTTCCTCATAGTTTCTCCTACTCACCTTGCTAAATGCAGCTTTATACCAACTCCATGCCCATACTGGCTGCTGAATTTCAATTCTTCGGGAGAAAACCACATGACATACTAACCAGTCCCACCTTAAAGTCATTATCCCAAGCTTGGAAATCACACCCTACATTTCCCCAGTCTATTCACTCTATTTCATGCCTCCAAATGACCCAGCTTCCTAGCATTTACCATTTACCTAGCAGCTTCTCTCCTTGTTACTATCTAGACTCAGCAGTCCAGCTTTACTAGATCCCATCTCATCTACCCAAGGATGTTTTTCCTACATTATTCATTTCATCCTCATACTAGGATTGTTCCCACCAGCACCAAATGCACTAAGAATACTGTTATTTCATTTTAAAACAGAACAAGAACTGGGAATGTGGCTTCGTGGTTCTTGCCTAGCATGCATGAGGCTCTGAGTTCATATTCCTCTCTACTACATAAACAAAAAAATTAATGAAATTAATAAAAATTTTAAAAAACCTTTTTTTTATGACAGTCCTGAGGCTTGGGGCCAAGGCACTTGCTTTTAGCTTTTTAGGCTCTAGGTTGCTACTCTTATCACTTGAGCCATACCTCCACTCCCAGCTTTTTGGTGGTTCATTGGAGATGAGTTTCCCTGACTTTCCTGCCTGGGCTGGCTTCAAATCACAATCCTCAGATCTCCGCCTCCTCAGTAACTAGACTTATAGACATTAGCCAACAGGACTTGGCCACAAAATCTTTTTCTTGATCTAATTGTCCCATCTACTCCATTTTACGCCTTTACAGAAAACTTAAAAAGAGTTTCAAATTAATTTTTATTAGCATACATTAGTTATTGGGATTTTTTTTCTTCCTAAAATTAAAAAAATAAATTTTGTCTGGGACACAACTGGGCATCTAATACTTCATTCATGGGCTCTACCACCTGAGCCATGCTTCCAACCCACAAGGGGTATTTTATTGTGGCATTTTCACAAATGTATGCAATGTATTCCAATCCCTGATAACTTGCCTTCTTTCCTAATTCAATTTCAAGAGGGTTTACTGTTTGTTGTTGTTGTTGATGATGATGATGATTGTGGGGCTTGAAATCTGGGTCTGGGCGCTGTCCCTCAGTGCTTCAGCTCAAGGCTAGCACTCTACCACTTGAGCCACAGCGCCACTTCCAGCTTTTTCTGTTCACGTGGTACTGAGGAATCGAACCCAGGATCTCATGCATGTGAGGCAAGCACTCTACCACTGAGCCACCTTCCCAGCCCTAACTTCTATTTTTATACTCACCAAAAAATATTTCAACAATTTCCTCTTATTAGCCTTTAATTCTCATTAGCCCAACTCCTTCTCTTTAGAACCCATACTCCTAAGAAAGCCAAATTTCTTATTTCTTATTCTCACTTGAGCCTTGAAATCAGATTTTTCATGCACCATTGCACTGAACCTATCAAAAAATTTCCACACTGCTCAAGCCTGTGGCCATTAAATTCTGGTCCCACTGTGAGCAGCATAGCCCTTATATGGTTACCCCCTTCTCCTGGAAACACTTTTTTCATTTGGTTTCTAGGATTCTCCTGGCCTTCCTCCACTCCACTAATTTTCTTTTCAGTGCTTTTCAGTGCTGATTTATTATGGACACTTGTCCATCATCTTTGAGAATTAGAAATTTCTAGACTAGTCATTGGATTTCTTCTATCAGTAAAATTCATGGACTTCATCTCATATATATTACCATTACTCCAAAAGTTACACATCTAGTCCAGATCACTAGAAATCCCTAGAAACCCTAGAAATGCCCAGTTTGGATCTTCTTTTCAATGTCTAATAGAATCTCAACATGACCAAGGTAATTTCTCAATATCATCTCAGAACACTTGTTCTCTCATCGTAATCAATGCCAGCTTCATTATTCTACTTGTTTAGAACCTGAAGTTATTCTTCACCGCACCCCCATCTCTCTACCTATTTCCAACCCAGCAGGAAATCATTTTAAGCTACTTTTAAAATATATTCAGAATGTGACACTGCTCACTACTTTGACTGCTACTACCTGGACCAAATCATCACCACCATTCACCAAAATTGTTGAAAAAGTCTCTTTAATACTCTTCCAGCTTCAAACCTTACCTTTCTATATTCAAAATCTTCCTAAGTTTTCCCATCTCTATTAGGGTAATAGGTCTGTAACAGGTAAACTTTACTACATCAATAGCATGAAACAACTGATGAACATTTTACTACTACAAAAAGTCTAAAATTGGTGTTCATGGTAAGTAAATGATACTTTTAACAGGAATTTGGGTCCCTTCTATCCTATGGCTCTGCTGCCTGCAATACATGATTTATAGAGTGGTCATCAAAAGAGAAAAAACTTGGAAAATTACATGACAGGCTTGTGTGGCCAGTACTGGAAGAAGTGAACATTATATCTGTGATCTTCCTTGGTCATAGCTAAATCGTGCTGCAAGGGGATGTTGGGAAATGTAGTCATCTTCATTAACAGGATCATAAGAAACCAGTTTGGTAAACAGCTAGTGTCTTCCATACCATCTCACAGTAAAAACTAAAAGTCCTTGCCCTACATGATGGCCTCCCTCCAACTATATGTCATCTCCTCCTCTACTCACTTCTGTACTAGAGCCACATCTGCTCCCAACTCCAAAACATGCTCCCAGCTCCAGGTCTTTGCCTTTGCTGTTCCCTTTTCTCAGAATGTTCTTCACCATCTTCGTACATTTGCCCAGGAGTCCTCTCTCATGAGCCCTCCATGGTTATCCCTTTCCTTTCTTTCATTTTTCTTTTCCTTTTCCTTTCCCTTTCCTACCTTCCCCTTCCTTTCCCATCCCCTTCCTTTTCTTTCTTTCTGTGCTAATACTAGAGCTTCAACACAGGGTCAGGGTGCTGCCCCTTAGCCTTTTTACTCAAGGTTCTACCATTTAAACCACAGTTCCATTTCTGGCTTTTTTGGTGGTTAACTGTGACAAGAGTCTCACAGAACTTGTTGCCTGGGCTGGCTGAGAACCATGATCCTCAGATCTCAGCCTCTTAGTAGCTAGGATCACAGGTGTAAGCCACTGATGCCTGGCTCCTAATACCCTTATTTTGTGAATCTTTATTTTTATTATAAAGGTGATGTACAGAGGGATTACAGTTATATGTCAGGTAATGAATTCATTTCTTTTTGGACAATGTCACCCTTTCCCGCACTCTCTCAGTTTTTCTCTCCTGGCTCCAACCACAAGTTTTATAGTTCATTTTCAACATAGTATCTAGTGCATAGCACTGCTGCATCTGTTCACCGTTTTCTCTCCATTTCTGTGTCCCTTCTTATTCTAGCTACCCTTTTGAAGATGGCAATATCCCCTCAATAGCCCATTTCCGGTTCTTTCTCTACCTTGTTTTTACTCTTTAGCACCTATCACTAACTCCTCTTTTGCTATTTAAATTGCTCTCAGTGTCTTCTCACCTATCCCTACAAACCAGAACAACCAACAAACATCACAACAGAGCCTAATCCTTTGTGTTTACTGCTGCATCCATAGAGCTTAGCACTGGATCTGGCACAGAGGACACAATACATTTATTTGTACAATATTTGATATTACCACATGAGAAGAGCTGAGAAATTTGGAGAACAGCAGCCTTTTGTGGTTGACACCATAATGCCTGCCACAAGACGTCCCTCAATGCTGCACTCTGAGTCTGCTCTCAGGGCTAGATGGCCAGGAGTGCAGTTAAAGGCACCATTTCTTCCCTACCCCCCTTCTTTATTTATTTATTTATTTTGATGCTGGTACTAGGGCTCAAACTCAAGGTCTGAGCATTGTCCCTTAGCTTTTATGCTCAAGGCTGGTACTTTATCACTTGAGTCACAACTCCACTTCCAGCTTTTTGGGTGGTTAATTAGAGGTAAGAGTTTCACAGACTATCCTTGCTAGGCTGGCCTTGAACCATGATACTCACATCTCAGTCTCCTGAGTAGCTATGATTACAAGCATGAGCCACCAGCACCCAACATGGGCACCATTTCTTAAGAGTGCTACCCCCTAAGTCCTTTTCCTCTGCTATCTCTGCTGCCTACTCTAACTCTAGCACTCCCATGGGACCTAACATGCTTTTTATCCCCTCCTCCTAAAATCTATGTATCTTGAGCATTTGCAGTTTTTCCTCAAGGCAGTTTCTTGAGAAGCATATACTCATAGGCCAGAAATGTCTACTATATATTTCTATCTTTATTTAGTTATTTGGCAATATGGTGTTTGGACTCAGGACTCCAGGCTTACTAGACAGGCACTTTACTGATGAATCCTCTTTTTGCACTGTTTGTTTTTTTGGTCAGTCCTGGGGCTTGAACTTGGGCCTGGGTGCTGTCCCTCAGCTCTTCAGCTCAAGGCGAGTGCTCTACCACTTGAGCCACAGTGCCACTTCCAGTTTTCTGGTGGTTAATTGGAGATAAGAGTCTCATGGACTTTCCTGCCCAGGCTGGCTTTGAACCGTGATCCTCAGATCTCAGTCTCCTGAGTAGCTAGGATTACAGGCATGAGCCACCTGCACCAGGATTATTTGGGACTTCTTTAGACCAGCTTGAGTCATACCTTTCTATGAAGCCCTCTCTGGTTATCACCAAGTATCCCTATCTATACCTTATTTGAATATCCCAAGCAATAGTTGTCAGTCTTTATCTTGGCACTGAAAAGCAAACTAATTAACTTTGTACATAACTCTTTTGTGAGCCTACTATTTGTCTCAACTGGATTTATAGAACCTTTATGTGCTAAGAACTTAGTTTTTTTTAAATTCCATTTGTGTTAATGGATAGTTGCTTTAATTCCATAACACTAAAATGAATAAGTGAATAGAGTCTGCGTTTCTCTTAAAAGGGATGTACAACAGATTCCACCTATTCAGTTCACCTAACACTGTTTTAGCATTCGCAGCAGATAGAAAGGATAAGAAAGATGCCTATTTCAGCACTTCGTCTAAAACAGATGGGTAAGCAACTTTGCGTGGCAAAAATGTCCAGTGTACTGAAGATACCAAGTACTATGAAGGCAAATAAGGGAAGTAGTAGTATGCTCAATGGGATCAGGAAAGGATTCTGCGGGTCCTAATGGCTTTTCTTATACAGAAAATCCGGAAAGCGCACCTATTTCAAGCAAAGGAACAAAGCCCATGCACTTGTGAAAAGATAGGCAGTCAAGAACGCGGCGGCCGTACGTACACGAGGGGGCGTGGCGGGAAACTAAACTGATAGAGAGCCAGACTGCAGAGTTTCCTGCACAGGCGGATAAAGTCAGCTTATTTCTGGCCGGAAAGTAATACAGTAATCCGAGAAGCTGGGTGGAGGCAGAGTCACTCGCTGTGAATGGAGACGTGGCGGCCAAGCGGCCGCGCCCACACGCAGCGGGAGCAGGGGCTGGAGCCCGCCATCCGCACACGCTCCTAGACCAGGGTTGGGCGGGAATCGGGTCCACGCAATTGAGCGCGCTCTCGGGGACGTGGCGCTTTCCAGCCAATCCCGGCTACGTGGTCGGGGGACCAATGGATGTCCGGGAAAGATACGCGTCAGCGGCAAGTTTAGTGATTATTGGTCAGAAGGATGCTGACAAGGCGGATGGGGGCGGGGAGAAGAGTCGTTTCCGGCAGGGCGGTGCTTGCGCGCGGGAGCCCAGCCGGTGGGTGATCAGCCGCCACGGTGTTCTCTTACTGTGGGGCTCAGGGAAAAGGTAAGTACGGTGGTGCCCACCTGCTTCGCCGCCGTGCCCTTCATTCGCTTGTCTTTGTCTCTTGGCCTTGCTCCCAGCGTGGCTTGGGCCCTTCTTACTCGGGGCGCGCGTTCTACGGGCGCTGGGGTCCCGGGCCTGAGGCCTTTCGCAACGCCAGGGCCCTCGGCTCGCAGCCTGGGATGAAGGCCCGGGCTGGCCCTCTGGCACGCGCAGAGAAGCGGGGCTGCGCCCCCGAAATCCTGGCTCCTGGCTTGGCGTCGTGGAGGGCACTGTGGCGTGCCTTTCTTGCTTGTGTCTTTTTCTCCGTCCCAGAGCTCCTCCATTCACAGAACCCCTCTGATTGTAGGGTCACTAAGCCTTTTGAAGGTCGGAGGACCGTGGAGTAGCGTTATTGCGGGAGCTTCGCGCCACCTCCCACTCACTGGGCTGGCTTGTATCTGCGGGCCCCACCCCAAAGGCCACATCCCGCAATTAGGGTGCATCTGCCAACACAGTTGTGTTCGCTTGACTTCAGGGAAAGCGGGAGGGAGAACGAATGGAGACCTCAGATCCTATGTTTAAAACATCTCCCATAATTTTAAAGAGAAGCTGGAAATGTGAAGCCTCTGACTGCATTCTTAAATCAGCAATCTGGAACAGTTCTAAAAGGTTTATAGGGAGAAATGGTTTCTTTGATTTGTTGCTTCTAACCCCACATCTTAGATCTGACCTTGTGTGTTTGTGTATGTGTGTGTGTGTGCGCGCGCGCGTGTGCTGGTACTGAGGATTGAACTCGGGCCCTTGCGTCCTTAGCATTTTTGCTCAAAGCTGCCGCTCTACCACTTGAGACACACCTCTGCTTGTGAGTTGGCTTTCCTCTCTCCCACATACCCCCACCCCCTGGTTAATTGGAGATGAGAGACTTTGGATTTCTCTGCATGGGCTGGTTTCCAACCTCTAAAGATCTCAGCTTCCTGGTAGCTAGGATTACAAGTGTGAGCCACAAGTGCCTGGATAATTGACTTTTTAGCACGCAGAAATAAGTAAAACTTGTCTACAACTTCCATAATTAAGAACTGACTGGATTGCCCATTTGGGAATTTTCTTTGGTACCAAGACAAAAACTCCTAAGTATATATTAAAAAGCCCCAGAAAAGTAAGATTGTTGGGTTTTTTTTTCCGTTTTGTTTTGTTTGTGTAGTCCTGGGGCTTGAACTCAGGACCTGGGACCTCTCCCTGAGCCTTTTTGTGCCACGGCTAACAATCTGCCACTTGAATCACAGCTCCAGTTCTGGGTTTTTGCTGCTTGGCTGACTTGAAACCATGATCCTCAAATCTGAACTTTCTTAGTCGTTAGGATTACAGACATGAGCCAGCAGCACCTGGCCAAGAAAAGTTTTTGAGAATTGAATTGTATTTATGTCTTGTTTTGTGCCTTGAAGACTGCATTAATGAACCGTGATGAGATTACTTCTAACTTGTTTTTATAATAGTATTTTATTGAGCTTGAATGTAGAGAACCTTGGGAACTCTGGTAAATTATTCTTTGCTATAGAATGAAACTTGACCCAAGACAAATGTGTATTTTATCTCATTCAATAGGTTTAATTAAGTACTTAAATAATAGTACTTAAATTAAGTACTTAAATAACGCTGAAGAATTTGTGGAGTAGATCAAAGGAGGGACCAGACCTACTTTATAGAAAAGTAGATTGCTTCAGGAAAACCCAAATGTCTGATTAAATTCAACTTCTCAGGAACATTAACAGTAAGTGATCCCACAGTTATTCTGGTTGACCAAAAACCCATTGCTTAATGCTAACAAGTGGGAGAAATGGATGGTAGTAAAATTCCAGTACTCTGACCTGGATATTAAGCAGAAAAGGCATTTCTCTATAATGTAGAGAAGGAAGTAATTAATTGCTTAAAAGTGCCCACTAGGGGGCTCAGTGGTAGAGTACTTGCCTAGCATGCATGAAGCCCTAGGTTCAATTCCTCAGTACCATATAAACAGAAAAAGCCACAAGTGGTCAATGGTTCAAGTGTTAGAATGCTAGCTTTGAGCAAAAGAAGCCCAGGGACAGTTGCCAGGCCATGAGTTCAAGTCCCAGGACTGGCCAAAAAAAGAAAAAAAAGTGCCTACTGGGAACTAGGAGTAACAATCTGAGAGCAATTTAGTCAGTACCTAACTGTACTGAGACCCAGGCTATAAAGTCTGGAAACTAAAGTTATCCTGTGATTCTAATTTTTAGTACAAGTACCACCAATAGGCTACAATATAAAGTAATCTTATCCTTTATGATTTTGTAAGATGTTATACTGATCAGCTATTTAACATTTCTCTAGAGACAAAGTAAATTTACAGTAGTTCATTAATACAATCTAATGAAGTTAATTGTGTGCCAGAGAAGTCAGTTGACTGTATGAAAATAAAAATTTGGCTGGAGAAGAAAAGCTCTGAGAATAGCAAACTATTATCCAAGCCTCATTAGTTCTCTAATCAAAATCAAGCTGGCAGACACTTTAAATTTTTCTTCTGCAGAATCAAAAACTTTCTGGCAAGAAAAGTTCTAAACCGGGTGTAGGTGGTTCATGCCTGTAATCCTTGCTACTTAGGAGGCTGATATATGAAGATCAAGTTCCAAGCCAGCCCAAGCCAAAAAAAAATCCAAGACTTTTATCTCTAACCAGCAAAAAGATCTGAAGTAGAGGTGTGATTCAAGTTGTAGAGCACCAGCCTAGAGCCAAAAGGCAAGCAAGAACATAAGACCCTGAGTTCAAGGCCTAGTGCTAGCACTAAATAAATTAATTCTAAAATTCTGGAAAAGTTTCTTTTTGATTGATGAAACTATTGTTCCTCAACAGTTTTCACTAAGTGTTGATTGATTAAACTTTAATACATAATTAATTGCAATAGGAATTTTATACAAAATGTAGTTAGGAGCTTTGCCAGGTGTGTATAAAAATACCCATGCATGAAATTTTGAGAGTTTTTTTATTTTTGTCAGTTAGGGGGCTTGAACTCTGGGCCTGGGTACTGTCCCTGAGCTCTACAGCTCAAGCCTAGTGCTCTACCACCTGAGCCACAGCACAACTTCTGGTGGTTATTTGGAGATAAGAGTCTTAGCAACTTTCCTGCCCAGGCTGGGTTTGAACCTCGATCCTCACTCACATCTCAGCCTCCTGAGTAGTTAGGATTACAGGTGTGAGCCACTGGCCCTTGGCAGTATTTGAGAGTTTGGTAATCGCATTTTTTTTTTTTTTTTTTGGTTGGTCGTGGGGGCCTGAACTCTGGGCCTGGGCACTATCCCTCAGCTCTTCAGCTCAAGGCTCTCGCTCTACCACTTGAACCATAGCGTCACTTTTGGCTTTTTCTGCATATGTGGTGCTGAGGCCACGAACCCAGGGCCTCATACATGTGAGGCAAGCACTCTACCACTGAGCCACCTTCCCAGCTCAAGCTTAATTTTTTTTTTCAGTGCTAAGTGTATAATTTTAAGAGACACACACACACACACACCTCCCCCCCCTGTAGCAAGAGTTCATAGGATTAGGCTCTAATGCCCTATGGCCTAGCAGTCTTTTCCACTGGCTATCTGTGGATCCATTGTTTTCTTTCTATGGTGGTACTAGAGTTTGAACTCAGAGCCTAGAGTTTAATTCTGTTTGTTTATGGATATGTATCTTTTTCTCCTATTTTTGTGCATATGTTATATAAATATAAACAACCTGGAAGACTGGTTTTGCCTTGCTTTTTATATAAATGAGCTCTTGATACCATTATGCAACTTTTTTTATTCATTTAACATATTGGTGAGCTCTACCTCATTCGTTTTAACCTATGTACTTTTCTATATTATAGATTAGCTGAAATGTTTTGCCAGTTCTTGGATTTTGTGAGTGCGTACACGTGCACTAGTCCTGCAACTTGAACTCAGGGCTCAGGAGCTGTCCCTGAGCTGTTTTGCTCAAGGCTACTCTACTATTGGAGCCACAACTCTACTTCCTGCTTCTTTGTAGTTAATTGGAGGTAAAGTCTCAAGGACTTTCCTATTGGAGCTGGGCTTGACCTGCAGTTCTCAGATCACAGCCTCATGGGTAGCTAGGATTACATGCATGAGCCAGTGGTGCCCAGCTTTCTGTTTTCATTTTGATACATATTATTTTATTTGTTCAGATGCACATACATGTTTTCCTTTGCGTTCCTCCCTAAGAAGGTGTAGCCCAAGCTGGACTCCTGCCTCATCCTCCTTGTTGATTACCAGTGTCACCACCATGGCTGGTTGTTTCCAGTTTTTGTTTTGTTTTAAAAATGTTTTTTATTAGCATATGGGTTTTATAGTGACATATAAGTACATACAGTACATACAATGTGTCCCAATCAAGCTTACCCCCTCCATCTCTTCCCTCCTCTTAAAACAATTTCAACAGGTTTCATTGTTCTGTTTTTATATATCAACATAAAGTCCTTTGACCATATTCACCTTCATTTATTTTATTGTGCTTTCATCCTCTGTTGCTTCCCATACCCCAGTATAGTCTGTTTTACTTTTGTGTGGTTGTTTTTCCTCCCACTTTTTTAAAGCATGTTTTAATTGTACAAAGAGCCCTTTTTAAAAACATTTTATTGTTATTATAACAGAGGAATTACAGTGTCCTGAATCAGGTAATTAGTACTTTTCCTTTTGTGCAGTGTCTTCTGTTCCTCATTGTCTCCCAGTCCCTCCCTCCTGTCTCCAGCCATTAGTTGTGTAGTTCACTCTCATCAATGCCGAAGAGCTCCACTGCTGTGCTTTTTCGCCCTTTTTCCCTTGTGTTCTGTACCCTCTGCCCTGCCTTCCCAAAGATACACACTTGAATACACCGTACATAAAGAAAAGAAGACAGAATCATCAAAAACTAAAACTAAAAAACAAAAAATCTTGCAGTTTGTTTAGATACATATGAAATGACACTGTGGTATTGTGTCTTTATGATTCTCTCCTAAGTATGTCTTCTTTTCGTCTCACTTTGTATGAGAA